AAAAACAGGATCAATTTTGGTACTGCCTTGCCTTTTTTCTCTTTTGTCTTGGAACCGAAACAGGTCGTCCAGATTTTTAGGATTTTACAAATCTTAAAACTTTATCTTTGTTTGTGACCATCGAGTCCAATATTCTTGAAAATTAACTAGCCAGAAGAGTTCTTGATCGTGTCTACTAGAAAGTTTCCTGGAAAATCAACCGATTGTTGATTTTTGTGAAGATTTTTGAAAGTGAGGTTACTATCGGCCGTTCAGGTATGTAAATTCCTTTTTCTCTCTGATGAATAATTCCTTATATTCCGTCAAATCATTCAGGCACCTTTGGCAGGACGAAAAATCCGTGACGGCACTTCTACAAATAGTGATGAGCAAATGCAAGACCAAGACCGGGCTAGTCTTGGTCTTGGTCTTGGTCTTGCATATGCGGTCTTGGTCTTGGTCTTGCAGTCTGATAAATGGTCTTGGTCTTAGTCTTGGTCTTGGTCTTGCATCAAGACTCTTGCAATTCTTGCATTTATTTGGTACTGGGAGGAATTTTTACAAAGAAAATTTTTAAAAAAATCGTATTTCATGCCACTTGAAGTAAGTAAACGTTTAAAGAAAGGAAAAGTATTATGTCAGTATCAAAATTTTGGTTTTTCAATATTGAGTACCTCTACCACAGCAGCAAATTTCAACAAGTACTTATTTCAGGCAATTTTTTCGAGTAAAAAATTCTCAAAAAAACATTGGAACTTAAGAGATCACGTGTTTAAGTTTGTCCCTATAATATTGAAACATCCATATTTGTATTTACCAGTGGCGGAGAATATGTTTGGAGGCCGCTACATATAGGTTGTGAATTGTGTCTACATAGATGCCCCCCTGGGTGCGCTACTGGTATTCGCAAATAATTGCGGGCGGCACTAACACAAGAACTATTTTATTAAAACGTAAATTCCATTTGATTTTGTTTATGCCTATTTATAACTGAATTATAATGCAAGTATCTGTCCATTTTCTTGTTCCTTGATAATCTAATGCAGCTATTCTTTTAATAGTGAAATTTTTCTAAAAATATTTTACTATATGTAATTTCATAAATTTATATCTAAATTACTGGGGGCCCGTTACCTTAGCTGAGATTAGAAATAAACCAAAATTATTATTGCTCAATGATGAAGTGCACATCAGTTTTATGTATTTCTCAGCAAATGAAAAATTTGTTAACAATTTTACTTTCCCGCGTGCCGGTAACTGTACTTTTCATCACACATTCGCGTGTGGTGATGAATTAGTACTTTATACATTCAAAAAACTAAAATAATGCAAAAGATAGTCGTTTTTTTCATGAACAGAAAAATCTTTTACTTTTATACATATTAATCTCCAAAGTTATAGGATAGGGTAGGCCCCAATACCAATAACAGAGCCTATGATAATAATTAGATATGATATATTTAACTACAAACAACTAAATCAACTACATACTAAATTTTAGTACTTTTCAGAAAAAAAAATGGAACAAAAACGCAAGACCGCAAGACTCTTGCATGCTCGGTCTTGGTCTTGCGTAAGTCTTGCAATGCTAAGTCTTGTTCTTGCATAAGTCTTGCACTGCTCGGTCTTGGTCTTGGTCTTGCAGTCTAATAATTGGTCTTGGTCTTGGTCTTAGTCTTGCTTTTTCTGCAAGACCGCAAGACCAAGACCAGTCTCGCTATCACTATCTACAAGTGAAAATTGACAAATTTGAGACCACGCTGTCCTGAAACTCAGAGCAAATCTGGGGCCCCCTTTTCAAGGAAAGTTTTTGTCCTGTAAGAAGTTAATCCCCAACCATTATCTGGTTGTCTCCAGCCAGTTTGGTACCGCCAGAGCTCAAATTTGTGAAAGCTTCCGAGGCTTTACAAGGATTCCGTCCAGGCTTGTATAATGGGCTCTTTCACTAATTTTTGAAATCGGCATATTTGGGTAAAGCAACTAAAACCAGAGTTTTCTGTATTTTTACTTTTGAAAAATTCATAGTCCTTGTTGAGAAAACAGAAAAAAAAGAAATACCTCCAAATAAAAATCTAGAATTTTATTCTATGACGTCGCAGCTCGCAATTTGACCGCGTTGCCACTAATAGTCAACATTGATAATTTGTAATAGATTTAATTCTGAAATGTGAAAAGTAGTTAAATTAATTAGTTATGGATTCAAGATTTTATAATTTTTTTTTTTAAATTATGCTTAAACACAATTGAATACAATTTTTTATGTTTAGTTTTATTTCTTTATTTTACGCTGCACTTCATTTAGTCACAACCGACAACAGCGCATTCGAACCTTTACGTATCTTTACAGAGCGCAACACAGCCGAGCCGGTCAGCTCCTTGCAACAACATAAGCGAAATCAAGAATATTTATGTGACAAGTGCCTGTAAAAAACTTATTTAACTTTGTAGAACATTTTTTTTTTGGTATATATGCCTAAAATAGTCCCTCCTTTGGGATATTATACTTAAATTACGTATTTAAATTTTAGTGCAAGAGCCCATTGCTTACCTATGGATGTCTTAAACATGCCATCTTAATTACCGTAACTTATTTTTACCTTTTCTTTATCGCCCCCTATCGTTTAGCTTTATTAGCTAACTACTGTTTAAATAAAATTATTAATTTAATGAATTATTTATTATCAGAGTCAGATATTATCTTTTATTATCGTTTTCTTTTTCATTTATTATTCAATAAGTATGCATTATTATAAGTATTATAAATTTATTTCCTTAATATCGATTACTGATCGATGTAATATATTGTGGATTAATTAACCTTTAAAAGGTTTATTTAACTTTCATTTTCAAATCAATAATGTGGTAGTTTTACATGGTAAACTAATGTAAAATCTTTAGGTAGGTAGTCAAATTTAAGTTTTATGTTTACCTATTTTGAACTTTAAAGGTAAGAAGGTTGAGCTCTTCCGGAAACCCTGACCCCTTGATTTCACCTAGCAGGTTTTTGATATTTAAAACTGCCTAGGGATTATTTATTACCTTTCCGCATTGATGATTTTTTTATTAATTTGATTGACTTACAGTCAAAAATTAAATGTTATTTTTATTTTGACTTCAACACTTACACTTAGGTAATTCTCATTGTAGGTAGGTATTTATTTAATTGTTTTTAAATTTCAATCTTTTTATATACCTATTTAAATTAGGTTTTGCTGCCAGTAAGCTGCTTAATTTTGTTTTAATAAAATTGGATACTGAACAATAATCACCCTTAAACAATTTATTTATTTCAATGTTAATGAACAAGTTCGCCATCCGGTCAATAAATTATTGTTTTTAGAATTCCAAGAGTTGTGTTTTTATTGAAGGGGTTAAATGTCAGATAGCTATTGGATTTATTTTACCTTTTCAGATTTTTGCATTTATCTTTTAAAATAATAGCTAATTTTTTGAGTAGTGTCTAGTTTGGCTATTCTTTGATAATCAAAATAATTTTATACAAACTAGTGGCGCCCTCTTTTTACTGTACCAACACCAAGGACCACCCCAAGCTAAAAAACCAATGAGCATAGTCGAGCACAATTATGAGCATTCTTTTGTTCCGACAAAAGAGCGTTTGGGATTGGAGTCCAAACCAGGCCTACTTTAGTTTGTTAAACCTGAAAAAAACGACATGTTGTTACTAATCTGAGGGTATATTTAAATGCTTGTTGTGTGAGTCCTTGCCAGTAATGGACAATTCAAACATCCGACAAAACTCCTCCAAGCAATCAACTTCAAGCTTCCTTATAGGTGGTGTCCTCAAATAACATAACCCTTCATGAAAGTTATCAATATGTGCAAGTAGTTGTCCTCAATTGGTTAGAATTGTGTCATTTTCATCTTAAGTTCTTTGAGTTTTCTCCGATGATATTTTCACAACATTTCCTCGCTACGAAATTAGATATTAAACCCACTATATAATAAATTCGGTCATCTTTCATCCCTGAAAGACAAAACAAAACGGCGCATTAACATAAAACAGAACGAATTTCTAAATTACGATCGGGCAAGCTTTCAAATATGCAACGACACCGGAAAACACACGCAAAGATATATGCAACTTTGTAGCTTTAAATATTATTATTATTTTCACTTACAATCTTATATATCTCCTTGGAACGGGTCCTTTTAATAAATGTGTTTACACTTTGTTGACGATATATTTGATCCTTAAAATAAACGTTGCAGATGGAGCTTTCACTCGATTTTAAATCCGAAAATGAACTTTTCCAGGATTAGGGTATATTTTTTATGTATATAAAAAAAAACTTTTTGTTCCAAAAAAAAAAAAGTATAAGCCAAACAAAACAACATACATCTTCACTATATGTTGTCATCAACATACGACCCATTTTTCCTGCTTATTTTGAAGCCAGGCAACAATAAGGGATTATTAGCCTGATGAAGGCCCTAAAAAATTGTGAGCTTTCACAGCACAAGGTGCAGATAAGACCCTTTGAAACCAGAAACGTGTAAAATGCTTTGACAGTGTTTTTTTTTTCTTTATCATCAAATGGTGGAATACAGTGGCGTAGCGCTCTAATAAAATGTAACCAGATAGTCGATAAAAACGAAACAAAACAAAAGTTTATAATTTACAACGAGAAATAAAAGCGGGCCGTTAAAACACAAGCTTTAATTCGTTGTTTATTTTATAGGTATAAACTTACACAAACATATAAAAAGGAAATAGTTTTCCAGTGTAAGCGAGCGTTCGATTTTTCGGTTATACGCATGTAAACAACTAAAAATAAACTTTTATATCTAATAAATAGGAAATTTTAAATAAATATCGGTACCGAGACAATGTAAATGTTTATGGGAGCACATTTCCGAAGGAATATCCGGGAAACACCAGGGGCTGAACGGTGATAAAACGAACTATTTACAGAAATTAGTTTCGATTTAGTTACCTACTTGGCCTGATTAAATTTTATAGTTTCCTGTTGCTTTCAATAATATATTTTTTTTTTTTGTAGGCTAAGCTGTTGGAATCATCACATGCTTGGCTCGGACCCTCCACATCTTCAATAGCCGGTAAGTGTCAATAAGGATCTTAACCAATACATTTTACACATACACAAACTTGGTACATAATTATAAATCTAGATAATGAGTAATGGGTTGATAACGTCTTATTTACTTTAATACCGATTTAAGGCTTTATAACTCTTCTTAATTACTTTTAAGTTTAAACAATTTGAGATTTATACAAATATTGCCAAAGCTCAAAGTAAATAGCGGGGCCCCGATTAGACGAAATTCCTATATGCATGTGTGTTTATATTTTATTTATTATTTATTTATATAAGTGTTGTAAAAGTAGATACAAACTCGAATCAAGGCTGAAAAATATAGGGTTTAACTTATATCGGCTTAAAGGCGCGTATTATATATTTTTGTTTCTGTTGGATTTATGACCTGGTTATTCAATATAATGATATTTGAGACTGGCATGAAGTTTTCTGTGACCTAAAATTATGGAAAATCGTTTCTCCATACTCTATATAGGTACCTACCAAGTTGAGTAGTGCGCCATAAGGCGATTTCGGCAAGCTTTGGTATATGCGGTTTGGTACCCTGTTTGGTCTGTCACATGCATACCAACCAATTTCAAATACGAAAATGATGACGTCACCGAGACTTTGGTATCCTTATAGGTCTGTCAAATAGGATACCGTGGTCAGCAGCACGGCTTTTCTCGTTTGGTATAGTGCTATCTACGTCTATTCTCGTTTTGTCCTACTCTGGAAATGTAAATAAATGGAAGTTCGTTGGAATTTTAAGTTTTTAACAAATATGGTCGGTTCAGACTGTGAACTGAGGTTGATCTTGAACGTCCGAATTTCGGCGTTCAAGGGGAGTTTAACTCTTTTCTGGGTTTTTCTAACTTCACTCTCCTATATTTTGTTTGTTTTTTGATGAGGGATCATCTTGGCTTTTAATATGTTTTTATTTTCAAGTCGATATTCGGTATTTATATTTATTTAAAAATGGATCTTGAATGGGAACTGTGGAAAGATATTACAGACAACGAAGATTTTTAAAAATTACTTAAATGTTGTACATCCTCGAACCCCACAGGTATTCAGAAATCGAACAGATCATCAACATCATCATTTGGAATGATAAGAATAATTCAAGGACAGATACAGGTTGGAGAAACAAGGTGTGAGATTTCTCATAGATGAAATTTTGCATCTGTGATCTGTCCTGTGTGTAAAGGGTTTATACAGCCACATAACATAACATAAGAAATAACATAACAAAAGATAAAAAGTAGACCTTATGGAAACCCCTTATGACATTTAGACAGAAAATAACATAACATAAGAAATAAGAAAGTTGATAAACTTTTAACTTTTATGTCTTATTTTATGTGAAAACGGATCTGCGCATGCTCATTTCTTGATGCATCATTGACAGAGTAGTGAACAAAACATTCCAAACAAAACTAAATTATTTTGGTTTTGGTTTTGGTTTTTGCTAATTTCTTGGATTCGGTTGAGAGGGGGACCAAAATGTCATTGTGGGGTTATGTGTGTGACGTCAGCTAGTGCCTAATTGGTTAACCAAATGGTATACCGGATGGGCAATATGAGTATCTCCGTATGCCATTCGGTTTGGTTAACGCTTCAGCAATGTTCCAGAGAACCATAAATAAAATATTGGGCGCTATGCGATATTCTACTGCGATGGCCTTTATGAATGATGTTTTGGTGCCATCTATAAACTTAAATTCCGGTTTGATTGCTCTTGCAGATATCTTGGAGTGTTTCAGAAAATCAGGCGTTACTCTACGGCTTGAAAAATGCAAATTTTTCCAGGAAAGTATTGGTTACATAGGACACAAAATTAGTGCAAAATGGTGTACGACCCAGTACTATGAAAATTGAAGCAATAAAGAATTTTCCCATACCTCAAAATGTCTACAATGTTCGATAATTTGTTAGACTCTGCAGTTATTTCAGGAAATACTTAAAATCATTTGCTCAAATCACACGACCCTTAACTTTGTTGAATAAAAAGGACACTTCATTTATATGGGAAACTGGATCAGCAGCAAGCATTTGAAAAATTGAAGCCGATTCTGACGGAAACACCAGTCCTTGCCATCTATAATCCGAAAGCAAAAACCGAGGTTTATACAGACGCTTCTAAATGTGGACTAGGCGGAATCCTACAATAAAAACAGGAAGACAGTAAGTTTAGACCGGTTCAATATTTCAGCCGACAGACTACCAAGGAACAAGGGCGATACGATTCATATGAGCTCGAAACGCTGGCTGTTGTAAATACTCTTCAACGATTCCGAGTCTTCCTGCTAAGATCTGAGTTCAGAGTAGTAACAGACTGCAGTGCATAGAGGACAGCAATGTCAAAACGGAATATAATTCCAAGAATTGCACGATGATGGTTGGTTACTGAAGAATATAAGTTCTCAGTCGAGTATCGTCCAGAAAGTATAATGGCTCATGTCGATGCTCTGAGTCGCAATCCTGTTGAAGAGCCATTACAGTCTGTCTAGACAGTGTTGATAGTTGATAGATTTTAGTCGGCACTCTCTGGTCAGTGCAGATAGTTTTCAGTCGGCGTCTGGACGGTGCAGTAGTCACTACTCACTCCCAAAACTAAAATAACAACAATAAGTTAGGTTAAGGCTCGTCTCTTCCCCCTCTCTCTCATGACCTACTAAACGAATTTGGAACAGAATGGTGTCTTACGTCATTACTATGACGTCGCAAGTATCAATTGTTTAACCAAATGGTATACCGGATGGGCAATATGAGTATCTCCGTATGCCATTCGGTTTGGTTAACGCTCCAGCAATGTTTCAGAGAACTATGAATAAAATATTGGGCGCTATGCGATATTCTAGAATTTGTTAGACTCTGCAGTTATTCCAGAAAATACTTGAAATCATTTGCTCAAATCGCACGACCGTTAACTTTGTTGACTAAAAAGGACACTTCATTTATATGGGAAACTGGATCAACATAAAGCATTTGAAAAATTGAAGCCGGTTTTGACTGAAACACCAGTCCTTGCATTCTATAATCCGAAAGCACAAACAGAGGTTTATACAAACGCTTCTAAATTTGGACTAGGCGGAATCCTACTATAAAAACAGGAAGACAGAAAGTTTAGACCGGTTCAATATTTCAGCCGACAGACTACCAAGGAACAAGGGCGATACCATTCATATGAGCTCGAAATGCTGGCTGTTGTAAATACTCTTCAACGATTCCGAGTCTTCCTGCTAGGACCTGAGTTCAGAGGAGTGACAGATTACAGTGCATTGAGGACAGCAATGTCAAAACGGAATTTAATTCCAAGAATTGCACGATGATGGTTGGTTACTGAAGAATATAAGTTCTCAGTCGAGTATCGCCTAGAAAGTAAAATGGCTCATGTCGATGCTCTGAGTCGCAATCCTGTTGAAGGGGCATTACAGTCTGTCTAGACAGTGTTGATATAATTTTAGTCGGCACTGTCTGGTCAGTGCAGTCAGTAGTCACTACTCACTCCCAAAACTAAAATAACACCAAAAAGTTAGGTTAAGGCTCGTCTCTTCCCCCTCTCTCTCATGACGTACCAAATTCGGAACAGAATGGTGTCTTACGTCATTATTATGACGTTGCAGGTATCAATTGGTTAACCAAATGGTATACCAACCAAAGCTTGCCGAAATCGTCTATAATGTTATGATGACATCGTAAGCATATTGATGTTTTGTTGATTAATGGAGCAATAACGAGTTAAATTTGGTAAATGAAAGTCCCTTTAGGCCATTTTCTTGTTATTTATTGTTTGAAATTGAGTTCAAGGAAAGGAAAATCAGCTCTATGGAAAAAATTGTTTATCTACGTATAAAAAATAAATCCTTGTTTCTCCCATGGTGGTAAACCCCACCCGCTGTTCAAGTAAACACTTTATAAATAATTATCACGCGACGTTAATTTCCTTTTTAAATAATTGCCAGCGACCCGAAAAAAGAGTTATATGTATTTTATTATCACGACCATAAATAATAATTATTATAATCATATAACATTTTATTCTATTTACACGATTTTTTATTACGCGCTTTAGCAACAATTAATTATTATTCCGCCAGCTAAATAATAAATCTTATTTCTCAAATTATTATATTTGTATATGTACCTAGGTACATATATCGTAAAACTTTATTTATATATTAGGGTAAACATTTTGCAATAATTATTCCGGAATATTATAACCGTATAAGATCAAAAGTGCCGACGTATTTACGATATAGCAGATCTTATTTTCGTAGTTCAAAAGTAAATATTTTACAATTATTTTTCTGCTTGGAAATATTTTCCTCGTTTCCAAGTATTTCATAATCGACTATATGGATTTTGAAAAATAAGCACATAAGAAAATATTGGGCACTAGCTGACGTTACACACATAACCTCACTTTCAACGGGGGATTAACAAAGCGTCTAAGGACTATTTACAACACTAAAAACTGTGGTACTGATGATAAAAAACGTCTGAACAGAAAACAGGTTCATTTGAGAAAAATCGTTTGTTTGTCCGTTTGTCCCATTGAGGTAGGTTTGCCTCTAGCGACATTATGTGATTTGTGACGTAATAGCTAGTTCCTGTGTGTATAAAAATAGTCCTTGAACGCTTTGTTTGTCCCTCTATCGAGCCGTCTAACAAATTGTGGAACATTCATTGTGGACATTTTGAGGTATGGGGTACCGGGTCGTACACCATTTGCACTAATTTCGTGTCCTATGTAACCAATACTTTCCTGGAAAAATTCGCATTTTTCAAGCCGTAGAGTAACGCCTGATTTTCTGAAACACTTCAAGACATCTGCAAGAGCAATCAAACCGGAATTAAAGTTTGTAGATGGCACCAAAACATCATCCATCGCAGTAGAATATCGCATAGCGCCCAATATTTTATTCATGTTTCTCTGGAACATTGCTGGAGCGTTAACCAAACCGAATGGCATACGGAGATACTCATATTGCCCATCCGGAGTGACGAAAGCTGTTT